GGAGACAACTGAAAATGTTTCCCAACATTATCAAATGTCTCCTGGAAGGCAAAATGATTCCTGAGAACCACTATACTAGAGCTCTCCAAAAGCGTTAACAGGGCTAGGCATGTGGTGCAGTAGCAGAATGCATGCTTGGCATGCACAAGGCCTTGGGTTCAGACCTCAACACTGTCAAAAACTAATCAGGGCTGGGGTTGTGGCTCAGTGGTAGAGCACTTGCCTTGCCATATGCAAGGCACTGGGTTTGATCCTCAGAACCATATAAAAAAAATAAACAAAATAAAGTTTTAAAAAGTATATTTTTTAAAAACTAATTAATTAAGGGCTGGGATTGTGGCTCAGCCGTGGAGCGCTCGCCTAGCACAGGTGGGACCCAGGTTCGATCCTCAGCACCACATTAAAAAAAATAAATGCATTGTGTTGTGTCCATCTACACCTAAAAAATAAATGTTTTAAAAAAACTAATTAAATAAAATTTAAAAGTTGAAATATGAAGGTTAAATTACACATTTTTTAATTCCAAAAGGAAAACTAGTCTATTTCATTAGAGGCCTATAACAATCAGTGAATTAGACCCCTCCCTCAAAAGACAAAACAAATAAACCAAGAAAAGAGCTTCGGCAAGTCTACCTGAAGAAAGTGAGCAAGAATACAACCACATGGTGATGGCTGAACCGCGAGAGCACAGTCCCTCTTTGGAAAACACTCGGCCAGGCCATGGTGCTCCGGATGCCTAAAGTTTGCTGGTGAATGATTTACATCATGGATTCTCTCTAGGGAAAAATAAAACACTTTCTTAATCTTATCCAAAAGAAAAGGAAAAATGTAATCCAAATCATCCAAAAGATTACACAAAACCTGAACTAATTAGGCTATGACTAACCAACATATAATTAAGCCTGCGGGGTGGGGAAGCTCCTGGGCTAGTTGATACCAGAAAATCTGATTCATAACTATGTTTTATAGTCATCAGCTAGTCCTAACAAAACCCTTGACCAAAGATTATATCTATCCTAATAGATATAATCTATCATATAAACTAAGAAGAAAATCACTTTTTAGTGGGAGTGGGATACTGGGAATTAAACCTGGGGGTACTCTACCACTGAGCTACATCCCCAGCTCTTTTCATTTATTTTGAGACAGAGTCTTGCTACATTGCTGAGAGTCTCACTAAGTTACTTAGGCCAGCCTTGAACTTGTGATCCTCCTGCCTCAGCTTCCCAAACTGCTGGGATTACAGGCATGCGCCACCAAACCCAGCTGAAAATCACTAGTTCTTACAGAAAATGAACAAAGTAAATAAGCCACTTATAAGAAACAAACTATGAAATTTAAGAAATAAAAGTTCCAATCTCTCTAATAATATTAGGTAAGAAAATGTTGCATATTTAAAGATTGTGCTTAGGGTATGGCTCAGTGGCAGAGGATGTGCATAGTATACAAAAGCCCTTGGGTTGAATCCCCTCACCACACACACACACACACACACACACAAAACGTGCTCAGTGCAGCTCAGGGTATGTTGTATGTTCCTGAACTCTCACATGCTGCTGATGAACGTGATCATGAGTATATTACAGGAAGAAAACAACCCAGTCATGTTCATCATGAGCTTTGACACAAAATTCCAACATCTAGGAGCTGATTCCTAAAGAAATATGAAATGCCTTTTTATCTATAAACAAAGGTAGTTTTCACAAAACATTACAGGAGCTTTTTTATATTTAAGAAATGA